AATTAGTGACAGCCTGACCAGGAAGTCTTCGGTTATTGATTAAAGTAAAAATATATTATATTTTAATATAATATAGTAATAAAAAAATATTTTTTAATTCCAAAATAATACTACAAAAATGCTGATAACGTTGTCAAAGAAAAAAAATACTAAAGAGGCAACTATGAAAAACCGCATACTCCAATATCAAATGTGCAATTTTAAACATTGCAACACGACCCAAGGCTACTTTTCAAAAATCATATCCCAGTTACGTAAAACTTTAATTTATGGCAATACTGATGAAACTCTATTTTCAGATTTCATATTCCATGTGTCTCAGCAAATAAGAGCGCTTTTCGAACGGCAAGTAAGCATTTGGGCGGTATGAATGTAGGATAGAGCCTAATCAAGTATTCGCTTATGCAGACTGATTGATTAACTTAAGCTATCAGCATAAATTCGGCGCCGACACCATTAAATGCACATAAAAACATATCTGTTTCTGTCGGACATTTTTTTTTTTAATTAAGTAAAAAAATGAAAGCGATGTGACAACACTCGAAGGCTTTAGACACAAATTTCAAGTACAAAAAGTTCTTGAGCGGCGGTACTGAAACTTTTTTAAATTAAATGACACGCAATTTTATCCTATATTATCTATATATTAATACGTGAAGCAAAAACTTTGTATCCCTTTTTACGAAAATTGCACGGACGGAGGAGTATGAAATTTTCCACACTTATAGAGAATATAGAGAAGAATTGCACAATGCTAATTTTTTTTTTTAAATTATGCATTATTAATACATTAAATTAATAAAAAAAACATCACATACTCTACCATGTACAGTCAAACCTGGATAAGCGAGAGTTCAAGGGAGCACAATCTCATTCTCGCTTATAGAGGATTCTTACTAACCCGAGTTTCTCCTAATGCACACTCTGAATTTCATTTCGCGATTTTCCGAATTAAGATGCATTCACTATTTTAAGTTTATCACTAAATGACAGTACTTTAATTTTCCGTTTTGACATGATGCAGAACAGAACTTTCCTTCGCAATTGATTAACGACAAACTGAGTAAGTCCGACAAACAGGACGGTACACAGGCACACGTGCCCATTCGAAAAGAATGGGATAAAATAACAACGTTATTTAGTTCCACGACATAGAATAGGTTCAATATTGACGAGAAAACAATACAAAGACAATGGTAGGAAGTTCCACGAAAGTTAAGAATAAGTCATTAATAGCAGATGTTAAATTTGTAATTTGTTTTGTCATTTGTTCCTCCTAAATAATATAAATAAATAAAGCTCGACTGTCGCTTATAGAGGTATAGATAATTAGCAGTCTCACTTACGGAGGTCCATGAGGGAAAAACGACTCTCTCTTACAAAGGTTTCTGTTTCTCGCTAATAGAGATTTTGGGAGCTTAAAATGACGGGTCCTGGCTATTACTCTCACTTATAGAGTTTTCTCACTTATCCAGTTCTCACTTACCCAGGTTTGACTGTATTTGATACACACGCATATACTCTTACATACACACATACTATTTGTTTACTGTCAAACTTTTGTTATTGCTTAGAGTCTGTGGTCAAATTGAGAATAGGTTACTTAATATTGTTTATCTTTAATTTTATTTGTATAGTGTAGTCTTGGCGAAATCTGTGATTATAGAAATATAATAGTCTTTGTCTCTTTGACAATAGAACCATAATAATGTTCAAATTTATAATTTCAATTAATTATAGTCGAATTTCGACTACCGCGGGACCACTAGTGTATATTATTATATATTATGTATGTTTAAAGCCTATTATGGACATACGTAAGTTCTTTATAGATTCTGAAACACTTGGACCGAATTCTGTGAAATTTTCGTGAAATCTTCAGATTCTTCCAATTATATAATATTCTTCTTCTTCTTCTCAGTCGTGTCACTCTTGACAGAGTGGTCGTGATCGTCATGTAGTGTTGGAAGGGGCAGACTTGATGCGTCTTACGATGTCGCGCCATCTCTCCCTGCTCGAGGCCATTCTACTGCACTCATTTAGGGGACCTCCCACTGCAGTTTTAATTTGGTCGGTCCACCGCATTATATAATATAACTATGTATATATAAATAAATAAATTCTCTAGTTTTATGACGATCGGATTAAAGTCACATCAAAGATCGGCCAATAAAGCGGGCCGGGTTTGATTAGTAAATTATACAGCATGAAATTTTTAATCTATTTAGTGTATTAAGTCATAAACATCGAGTCATTGTCGTTATCACATAAATTGCTTAATTATCTTCGCACTTTTTTAATGAAGCAAATCTTGCCGGCTTTATGAATGCGAAACAATGATCAGATTTAACAAGAACCTCAAATTATGTCGAATTGAAAATATACGAATTGTTTCCGTCAACTATTAAAAAGTTTGGAAATTTCTTAGAACATATATCTGAAGGTGGGTGGCGCACTTACGTTGTAGATGTCTATGGGCTCCAGTACCCACTTAACACCAGGTGGGCTGTGAGCTCGTCCACCCGTCTAAGCAATAAAAATAAAATATCGTAGAAGATGAACATTAAATATAAAACGTAGCCTGTATTGCGATTCACAATCTTTATTTTTTTAGGTACGATATTACATAATCAGTAGGCAGCGGCTTGGCTATGTCATTTGCATTGCTGACGCTCATAAACTACGCTAACTACCCACTATACTCCATGTGGTCTGCATGCTCATCTGCCTACAAGCATTATGAAAAAGGTAGAGTGCCTCGTTGATTCGTTGGGTGACGGCAATTGTCCCTGTATTCCGATAACGGCTTTCAATAATCTGTAATCATGTGCGCATCCAAGCCATGCAGGAGCCAGTCACCGTCGACGCCTTAGACACGTCTTTATCCCTCAAATCCTATAACCTTTGCCTTAGACGCCTTCCGCTCTAACACTAGGAGCAAGCTAGCGACCCCGGTAACCGTGCTCGTGGAACTCGACAAAGAGTTCGCTGTACAACCTAATCCATGCATCAGCTCACTGAGTTTCTCGGCGGATCTTCTCAGCGGGTCGCGATAGCGATCCGGTAGTAGATTCATTCGCGAAATAGCTGCTCTTGAGTTGTAAGGTCTCCTTCGGAGGCGCTTAGGCAGCTGTTAGCAAAACCCACTCCTCTTGGCCAAGCCTTCGCTCGCCCACCTGTCCTGGTGAAACTGGAAAGGCCTCCGGGCAACCAGTAATGATTCAATCATTAAAAAAAAACATCCAAGCCAAAACCAAAAATGTCCACTAACCATTATATTTGGAACATAATAAATACTCTAAACTGTATCGCATCGTAAAATAAAATGTCAAAGCTGATCTCGGCAAGTGATACCTTTATGTTGTGAGCTCGTTCTGTTGCATCACGCGATGCGGTGGCGGTCGCGGCGGTGCGCGGTGTGCTAACTCACATGTGAAGAAAGCGCACCTCAAGGTCATTGTCATTTAACATTCCGTAACGGATGCAGTCGGACAAGAGGGTTTCAACCCACGCAAATTATTATTGATGAATTTTCCGTTTATTTTGTTTTGAATTTGGACATATCATAATTTTATTGTTAGGTTCGAAATTTACAAGAAAATGGTTCCGTCTATTTGTGTTGCCGTGATTGATTGGGTCATTTTCGCTTAAACCCGTCCCCTGCCACCGACAATGTTCGACAGGTTTCTGATTTTAATTAAAACGTTCGAGGATTATCTGTTTACAGTCTAATCTTTTTTTTTTGTTTATTATCTCTAATGCTAATTTTTATTTAACTGTTTTCGTTATAAAATCCGCCGAAGACGATCACAATTTTTTACAAATAAAACTCATATCTTTACGAAACCTCTCGTCAATTAATTACGTGATACAATAATTCAAACAATAAATCATGAATTCCAACAAACGGATTTCCTAGAGCTGACCAGCAGTCCACAATCAAACGGACATAAGATCAGATAAGGAATTGTATATGTAATTACAATTAAGACATGTATTCAGATTCAAATCGTCGATACGGGTGTTTCCTATCAAGAATTAATTAGGCGAGGCACACGATTTTTTTATGACTTAAAAAAATAATTTGGTTTGCTAATTATTTCGTAATACTTTTTTTATTACCTTTGAAGGCGGACAAGTACGCATGCCTCACTGGTGGTTAGTGTCATAGTCACTACCACTCAATAACCAATTTTTTTATTGCTTAGATTTCGATTCCGGGCGCATAGATATTTATAATGTAAATGCCGCCACCCACCTTAAAACTAGAGTTCTAAGGTCTCAGTTTTAACAGTACAACAGCTGCCGCACCCCCCAAACGCATTACTGGTTCACGGCAGAAATAATCAAGATGGTGGTACCTACCCGTGTGAACTCAGAAAATGTTCTACAATGAGTAAAATTTTGGCCTGACTCATTTATAATAAGTTTCTTTTACTTTTATATCTCATCGATAATTCTTTACATGACTTGCACTTCAGATAACAATAAGCGCATAGCAAAAAAATGCAACTAACGCTGTCATTGCGTAAATGAAATGTCTAATGTTAAATAAAAACCCACAAACAACACAATGGGTGTCACAGAGGATATTTTGCAACGTGCCAACGCGACGCTGTTGTGGCAATTTCACCTTTTTGAAATTTAGTTAAACACGCATGAATAAACACGTATGTTGAATGTAAAGTGGCCAAAATTTTCTTTGTTTTTATCTCCGTTAAACAAACCAAGGAGTAAACTAAAGTTAGTACGTGTTAACAAATGACTAATCAACAAATCGATTAGTTATTAGCAGGTAAAACGGTATCTTCATCATACCTTTTTTCCTGCCTTATCGCTAAAGGGCTATTCCAGCTTTGTTCCTTACGGGTATGTAAGCTCCCGCACTCAACCTGAGAAAAGTGGCTAACACCAGCCATGGTATGAACAGTGCTTCGCAGAATCTACTGCCGGATCGGAATCGCGAGCCGCAAAGATTCGACGAGAAACTCAGTGGGCTAAAAAATGTAGAACGCTTCACGATTTTTCCGTGTCATATTAGCGTAGGGTACATGCTAATCTTCTCTGTATCGTTCCAGTTCCAGTATACGTCCTACCGAGGCAAGTACCAAATCATTATCATAGGCTTCACAGTCCAAGGTGAGCCTTAGACTGGTCCAATATGTTTCTCCAGATTCCCTCTATTCGTGGTTTCTTTTTCCAGTATTCAATACCAATTCTTTTGAAGTCCAGCTGAACGTCAACCAGTCATCTGAGTTTGGGTCTGCCGCGACTTCTGCGGTCAGTCAGTTTACCCTATAGTAATTGTTTCAGCTTTCAGATCTCTGCCATTTTTACTATGTATCTACGTCCTGCCCATCTTAGGCGTTCAATTTTAATAATCATGAAGATAGTGACTACTAATTTGTAAATATAATAATACATCACCAATACCTACACGCAATGCCATTGAGTCTGCAACCTTATATCTCAAGAATCATCTTCTAGAGGCTTCGCTGGCCACTTAATATCAGCTCCCCAACTATCAACGTATTCAATTTAAACTGATTTCAAGCACCATCAAAAACGTTTTTTTTTTTCTTATATTCAAAAAACAACCTACCACATTGTCCTAGAATGATTAAAATTCCTATTCCTGCTTAGAAGTTATCCTTGTTGTATATGCGTATGAATGGTGGTTACCCTACAATGGCGCGACTGTCTTGGGCTGCATAAATATTTTTATTAAATAAACAACGATCTATTGTCCACTAAATAAATGCAACTAGAGCGAGGCTGCACATTCAACCACACAAACAAGTGCTGTGTGTTTCAGAAAACATAAAATGCTGTTAATATTTTATGTTAGGTTTTTACATGTTCTTACGAGTAAGATAGATATATGTTTTTCGCTTATGAGTAGACAAACCCATGTGGAACCGTTAAAATTATATAGAAGTGTACGAAGTACGAAAAAAATGGAATTGCAAATCTACATGTGAAAATATTCAATAAGTGTAATTTTATTGAATTTCAAATAAAAAAAAAGATATTAGTCTTTTTTTAGAGTCACATTACGTGAATTATTTTGTTAAGTTTAATTTTATTTTATTTATTCGTCTATTATTTATTGGCGTTGCTCAATTTGACTTTCCGGTTCGTCCAACAGAAAATAAAACGCGGAAAGTTTAAAATTGTTAATGACGACGCAAGCGACAAACGTGGCGGAGTATTTTGGTAATCCATACTCCATACTTTTATACCCCCATCCGCGTGTATCAGCAAATAGGTAAGGAAAAAGTACATGCTTCCTCAGAAAAAAATTATACCTCTCTGCGGAACGCCTAACACTGGAATAGTCGCATCACTTGGAACAAGTAAGTATCCCTGGAGTGTTATCCTTAAGACTACGCCGATTTAAATTTACGAGTACTAACATTTATTTTGTCAAATCTCCTAACAGCTATTATTACAATGGAATCCAAAAAAAGCCTGCACAGCACAAAACTAATTTAGATTTTCAATAGATTAATTATTAAAGTTTTTGCACAGTCATCGACGCCCAAGTAGCTCTATGTTAATAAGATAAAAAAAGTTGGATACATAATATATAGTATATTCATTCTTGTCGCCAATAAACAAAGGCTGTCAATAAATAACAAGGAACCGTCAATTTGTTACGAAGGTCACTTATACTTAATTAATTTGCGTTTCTATCAACAATTGTTTTTACTATCTATGAATATGTCATGGCGGAATAATCAAAATACTTTGTGTATTTCCGCATCCGAGTTTTACATTTTTATGTTTACAAAGTTGTTTTTTTCATTTATTGGAACGAAGTTCCTTACGGCAGGCTTGGAGGGGATAGGGATTTTGCTGCGCGACCGAACTGAAAAAAATGTGATAGTAAAACCCTAAGAAAAAATCAGTGGAAAAAAGTGCGTGGAATAAAACCGTTAAATGAGACGTGCGCAGGCGCGACAGTCGCATACACAAGCGAGTAGTGTATAATACCTTTCTCTTTCTCCCTCTTTCTTTTCGTTCTCTCATCCATTCTCTTTCTATTTTACGTAATTTATTATTTTCTAAAATACTGAATTTCCTAAATACTTTCCTATACTTAAATAAAAACTAATCAGCAAAATTTAAGAGAAAAATCAAGAAAACCTACATAAAATTGAGCACGATTTTTTTTGCAAATTGTGTCGATTCTACATTAGCCGAAGGAACTTCGTTCCTACCTGGTGTCCCACGACACCACATCTTTAATTTTTTTTAGGATTTTTTTATTATTAAATAGTATTATTAATATTTATTAAATTTCACAATGAAATTTTATATTTCATTTGAAACATTTTAACTGCCCACTATTATTTCTTAGAAGATATTTGAAATTATTTTTGTATTTTTTTCAGAATATCTTTGTTATAACTACCATAATTTTTTTTTATAAAATATAAATTTACCTTAAGAAATGTACAAAACGATACTGTCATTCAATTACCACAAGATATTCTGTTACTACTGAAATGTTTATAATCTAACCACTCTGTAGATACAGTCGAGTCGGAAGCGTTATTGTTCGTGAGTATCCTTGAGCCTGTCGCGAACTTTCGCTTTGTTTGAGTTATATGTATAAATAGCGTGTCACGATACTTCGCGCGACAAGGCGTGGTTAGATTGTCATTATTTTTGCATGAGCCACGGGCGGTGCCGGAATAATTACTACACGATTGATTGAACCAGTTTGCATTCGGAAGTATTTTTCTTGTGTCGCGTAATTCGAAGCTTAGTTGATATTGCAATATATAACTTTCATTAAGGTGAAGTATATCATCGAATCGCATAAACTTAAACTGAATATATGCAAAGAAAGAAAGAAAAAAAGAAAGAAATCATTTATTGGCCAAGCATAGTGAAAATGAGTTATTACATAAGTTAAAAGCAGCGTGTATGCTTTGTCATTATTTGACATGCGAATTTTAGTGCAGTGCATAATCACTACATAGTATAAAACAAAGTCGCTTTCTTTGTCCCTATATCTGTCTATTCCTATGTATGCTTAAATCTTTAAAACTACGCAACGGATTTTGATGCGGTTTTTTTAATAGATAGAGTGATTGAAGAGGAAGGTTTATATGTATAATAACACCTTTAAATAGTGGAGAAATCAATAATAAATTACAGTTTCCGAAGCGAAGCGAGGGTTGGTCGCTAGTGTTATATAATTTACCATTCATTCATCCATAATTCAACTAATAATAAAAAAAAGTGTGTGTGTCCGCTCCGACGCACGACTGGAGTTTACTGGATATAAAAAATTAAACGAAACAATACGAGAAATAGTTCTATATTACGACAACACGATACAGATTATTAACAAATTAACGAGACACAAAACAAACGACTAACAAATATATGAAAATACAATAATGAGAGAAACGCGCGATCAGTACGAGGCTTTGTGGCGGACTGCCGGCGCAGCAGCCCGGCGTCACCTGCGATAACGCGGCCGCGCGTTGGCTCCTGATTGGCGCGCGCACGCATCACGCAATCAGGAGCCAATCAAGCGCATAACGCATTTCGTGTGACATGCTAGTACGATTTTGGTCCCCATAATTTTCATACCCCGGGCCTATATATGTAAATCGATTCTAAAGGAGTAAACTCCAAAAAATCAATTTATTTTCAATGCCGTCCCTAAGAAAATCATTTATGTGATAATAATTTTCACAAATAAGATTATCTTTTAGTTTTTTCCTAAAGTGAAAATAGTTTAAGTCTCTTAACTTCTTTGGTAGTTTATTAAATATCCTAACGCTCATACCTAGCATTCTATTATTCTTTAATGTAGTTTTGGATTTTGGAAAACATAGCTTATCGTCGCGTCGATTTCTGTTTGCCACATTACTAAGTGTACCTACTGTTCTTAACATAAACTCTCTAACATAAAAATACACTACTAATGCACATAGCAATGTAAGAGTGATAAACAAGTTGGGATTTAAAAAGGGAAGCTGGAAAAATTAACCTAATTTGGTTAATTTTTACGTTGTTAAGCTGTAAACTCGAAAATAACTAAAGGAGAAAGACCAACTAATATTACAAAAGGAAAAATGGCTTTCCGCCATAATTTTCCTACTGAGTTTCTCGCCGGATCTTCTCAGGGGGTTGATTCCGATCCAGTGGCATTCAGTATCCAGATATCCAGGCATCCAGTGGTGCTCTTTTTAGGGCCAGTGTTGGCAAATTCTCTCAGGTTGAGCCCGTGAGCTCACATAACACACTGGATGTTAGGTGCTGGAATAGCCTTTTAGGCTACCAGTGAATAGGTAGGAGAAAAATCTGTTATGCCTGACAACTTCTCGCCAGGGAAAGAATTCAATACCCGACAGTTTATACATTTTCTAGAAGCAAATTTTAGATTCGTAGCATTAATTTTTTTTGTTTGTAAGTTTAATCGTGCAACTAATCATCTAAGCAAAAAAAATTATGGCTTCCTGTTTTACACAGCGCCGGTTATTTTAGACGTTATAGTGTAAAGAAAACGATCCCGCCGATTCTGTCGTTCTCATTTCAAGGATTTTAAGGACCAAACTATAAAAAAAATCTAGTTAATTTTATCTGTTCCGTGTATTCAGTATATCGTTAAAAATTGATTAGAACGATCGAAAAAAAAACTAAAAATAACCTTCCAGTTTTAAGTTCCAATCATTATAATTTTTCAGAAATGAAGAAAGCAACGAAGAATAATTTTCGTTCAATCTACCGAAAGAAATAATTATTATAATAATATTTTGTGTATGAAATTCTGTGTTGAAAACGAACATTTTTTATTTATTTACATTATAAGGAAAAGGTTTTTAGCATCAAGCCTAACAATTGATGCATTCTATTTATTTAGACTAGTGAAGATTCGAGAAAAAAAAAACACATTAAAGAATCAAGAAATGTTGCTTAGAAAGCTTCCCATAAACTATAAAAAACAGTAACAGCGAGTGAAATCGATGAAATAACATCTTCAACAACACTGGAATACCTAACGAGTCCTTGTATAGTTACGTAAACTAAACGAGGATTGATCTCCTCAAAAGTAGGTCTTCGTATTCAAAGCATAAAGTCATTA